TTTATCACTTTTACGTACAATTTAAAAAAAATGGAATTATTGATAAAAACAAAATTAAGGCTTCAAACGGTTAGGCTTGAATAGACAACATAATTTAGAGAAGTTAGCTAGGATGTTCTGCATTAATTGGAAATCATGGTTTCTGAAGTAGCATAGACCAAAACGCTGCCGCCATCACATCCTCAAAACAAGCTAAACTACGAACTGAAAAAGTAGACACCAGATTCAAGTCTCTTTCACGAACCCCTGTAAATATATACAAAGTACCTCATGGATAGAGAGTGAGGTTAAGGGATATGTAAAATACTCTTACTGTAGCGAATGCCGCATAACACTTGGCCTCGATGGGAATCCAACATGCCGGTTGGGGGAGGGGACGTAAGGGAGGGAAGTTGATCTAATATCCAATTTCTGGTCAGAGCCTGCAGATCCGAGCACATGATGGGGAGGAGGGAGGAAAGAAAAGTAAAAGGCAGAAAGCAATAAAAATAGGAGAAAACTTCGAATAAGGGGCATGAAGCCAAATATAAGACAAGCTCAGGGATAGGTGATTTCAACAGTTAAACTACATAGTGGGATAGCCCTAAGACCAATGATTACAATTTATTTTTACAAGAAGAACATCCTTATTGTGGAAAAGCTTAAATTACTAAGAAATGAATTAATAATGTGAATCAAGTTAACACTTTCTTTCACTTACAATTCGATCCTACGAGTGGAGAGACATATTAAATGTCCAATTCGATCCTACGAGTGGAGAGACATATTAAATGTCAAAACTGGTGCAGCATCATCTTGCTAGAAGTAATAAAACCATGTAACGTAGATGTTTTGAATCCAAAACTTGAGTTCGACTTTCATGCTTGGTATCATCAAATGATACAACTTTTAATTTCGATAGGTTAAAATCCTCTAATCAGGTATTACAATGTAGACCATCGACTACCTATATTATTTAATGAAACAGAGTATAAGAAGGAAAAATCCCAAACAATTAAAGCATTAGACAATTTGGCCGGCAGTGTACATAAAAGAAAAACCTCATAATGTCAAACCTCTTTTGATCTCTTCTGTTTTCACTTTCTTGCAACTTTTTTCGGTTGTATGGTTGCCAGTGAGTAGCTGAAAGAGTACGTGTAGATGAACAAGGGAATACAATGCACTCACTCGTATCATTTACAACATCCGTGCTTTATTGGGAATAGTGCACGGCGTAGACTAGACATGAATGGTCCAAAAAGTTTGTTGAGGAGTTGATGCATTGGTCCCCAACAGTCAACACATTTAATGTTTTATCTATAAAACACTACAAGGAAAATTCTATTATGTTCTCAAGTCTTCTATATTTTGGAATTTTTGGCCGAAAAATATTGGTCATTGTATTTGTAAATTTTTAGTTAAAATGATTATTGAGATTTGTATAACTTATTATTTTAATTCTTAGGATTTGAAATTAATAGAAGTGGTCTCTTAATTTGTCGATCATCAATCATTTTAATCATTTAATAAAAAATTATATTAAATAATGAACAAAATAACAAAAAGACCCTTAATTTAATAAACAATTGACCAAATGATTTGACAAAAATTGAGGGTGTTTTTTTGTCATTTTAACCTTATTTAATGATTTTTTATGGAATGACCAAAATGATTGATGGTAGGCAAACTCATAGACTACTTCTATTGAATTCAGATTTCAAGAACCAAAGTGGAGGTGAGGAGTTATGCAAATTTTCGGGATCATTTTGACTAAAAAAACCTATCTATAACCAAGAACTTAACAGCTAAAGATTTTGAAGTATAAAATACCTCGGATGCATACTAAAAAAAATCTCACAAAGGGAAAAAAGACACATTCAAGGTTTTGGAAACTAGGCACCATGAACCAAAATGATTCTCATCTGAAAGGCGTGAAGAAGGGAGTAGGATTCTCTTTCCTCTTTTTTTCTCTCCCCTTTTCTCTCCTATTTGAACTGCCACGTCAACATTTTATATTACTTTTTTATAGAAGGAGAAAGATAAAATAAAGGGGCTTTTCGATCTAGGTCCAAAAACAAAGGTAGTTTTTTAACTAAGTCCAGTTATTCAATTACATATTTTTATACCAATTGTGCCCTTTTAGGTAAAAATAGTTAAATTCTTTAATTTTTGTATCATTTATTCAGTTTTTAATTTTGAATATTTAAATACTAACTAAAATATTATCTAGTAACCACCTAATGTTGTTTACCTACAAAACCGATATAATTTAGTAACTACCTATTGTATAGGAAGAAAAATGCTTTATACCTACAAAATAGATATAATCTACCAACAAAATAAAAATAAACTACCTATTGTATAGGAAGAAAAATGCTGAACCTCCATGGCAGAACATTAGAATAGAAATATGATATAATATACCTCTATTAAAGGAACAAATACTAAACAAAAAAAAAAGGAACAAATACTAAGTTTCAGTTTACCATTATGATACGCAAAAAATATAATAGAGCAAATATAAATGCATGATACTGTATTATTGCTTGCAATGATACTATATTGCCGAACGAATATGTAAAAAAATTGTTAAAGCTATGTAAAAACTGAAATTGTCATGAAAGAATTTGGAGGGAGGAACACAAAATATCACCCATGAAATATGATAGAAGAAAGAGGATGATTGATTCCAAGATCTAACAAAGGAAATTGTTTAGAAGAAGGAAAAAAAAGGAGGGATGAAACGGACTGGGGGTTGAGATTTTATTGCTATATATCCTACAATTAAGGGATTAGTTAAATCACAAATAATCATATAATTAAGAAATTTTGAATATTTACTACAATTTATAAGTCTAAGGGATAAATATGGTACAAATTATAAATAAGCTTTCGTGGAATATCAATTATTGGACCTATTTCAATGCAATGGACTAATTATAGTAATGACTCGCAAAATTGGATATATATCAAATTATCCCTAAAATAAAGTATGTGAGAGGAGGGGAATGAATGAGATGGAAAGAAGAGGAGAGAGAATTTTAGTTTGCGAAGAAGAAGAAGACGGTAAAATACCAGGAGGATCTTGAGGATCCTAGGGATCCTCAAATTGTGTCCATTCATCGTATATCGTGTGGTCAGTTTTTGTCAGGTACTATTTATATTTAATTTAAAATAAAAATATTTAAAATAATTTTTAATCACACAATGAACGAACACGATTTAAAGATCTTAAAATCCTCATTCGGTAAAATAAATGCTGGAAAGCATATATATATTGATACAGTTCCAACCAATTTACCAGACGACGTATCAATTATTCACCAAATCCGACCAACTGTATTAAATTCATCTTCACATGGATGTCGACTCTTCTTTCTGTTCTCAACGGTTTGCCGTGACTGACTTGACAATATGTGCAGCGTAATGCCATAAATAGTGGGTATGAAGGGTATGAAGTTAGGAACTGACAGACAATGTTTTGAAAAGGTTAAAAAATTGTTAAGATGTAAACCAATAATATATTTTTATGTTCCAACACTTCGCTCTCATTGAATCAATAGGCTGATATATGTCAAATTTTGAATGCTAACAACTTCTTGGAATCTATAGTTGTAACTGTAGGGAACTAATGTTGTAACCATCGTGAAAGGAATGCAATTATTGACAAATTAACTAATTTAAGGTTTCTCTCATCTTCTTTTATTTGGCATACAAATTCTCTTCTTCAGGTTTTTTTTTTTTTTTTTTTCGCAATTAGATTTCTTAGACATGCAGGTTTATTTCTCCTTCTTGATGTGCTATTTTCTTTTTTACCTAATCTTTTTGGATATTCCTTTTTGTTTTGCTGCTTTTCTTGCAGGTCTGACCTTTTAGGTTCTATTTTACTGGAGTTTGGTCCTATGCCCCCCTTCCCCTCCCCCTCCTGTATTTTCATTTTCGAGAAGGATAAGGTTTATGTTCCTCTCTTTTTCTTATGTTATCTTTTTAGAGAAGGATAAGGTTAATGTCCCTCTCCCCACCCCCCCCCTTCTCTCTCTCTCTCCAAACCGCAAAACTCCTTTTTTTCTTGTTTTTAATTTTCTTATTTTATGAAGATAAGATTTATGTCCTTCCTGTTTTTAATTTTCTTATTTTATGAAGGTAAGATTTATGTCCTTCCTGATTAGGTGGAACTTTTTATTTTTATTTTTTATATATCAATAAAATTTTCTTGTGCCACTGAGATTCTTCAAAAAAAAAACAAAAAAAAAAAAAGTCAAAAACCGGAGAAAATAGAATCAAATTTAATCAATTGTTTAAGAAAATAAAGTGATAAAAATTTGGGACGCAAGCCACAATTTTGATAATTGTGATAGAAAGACACGAAATCTGAGTTTTGTAACACTTTGCCCTTTAATTATCGTAGTGCCGATCTAAAAGTTGCCATATTTTCTAAAAGCATTTCTTCAGGCTTGTTTGTGACATCCCACATCGCTCAGGGAAGTGAGCCTTAAATGTATATTTCCATCTCTACCTAGCACGAGACCTTTTGGGAGCTCACTGGCTTCGGGTTCCGTAGGAACTCCGAAGTTAAGCGAGAAGGGGGCTAGAGCAATCCCATGATGGGTGACCCACTGGGAAGTTGCTCGTGAGTTCCCAAAAACAAAACCGTGAAGGAATGGTAAGCCCAAAGCGAACAATATCGTGCTACGGTGGTGCCCCAGGGCTGAGAAGTGATCCGCCCCGAGACGGGATGTAACATTGTTACCGACGCTCATATTCTGTGTAGTGCGTCTTTATTTTGTGGTGTGACAATATGCCACATGGCTTACAAATCACATTTCACATGTTTAGGAAGAAGCTCTTTCCATATAACACTAAGTGAATGGATGCTAATGTTTTGTATGAATTGTGAGAAAACAGCATGTTACAACTTACAAGGCCATCTCAATTCCAGCATGGATTTTATTTTATTATTTTATTTTATTTTATTTTATTTTTTATGGTTCTGTAGGGATAGTAATGAAGGTACACAAATATGACGCCAACAATTTGCAAATGACACTTGAGTTAGAACCGGAAACAAAATTGTTTCTTGCAATCCAAGGCTAAACCAAAGAGAGGCCACAAATTACAACCACTGCATAAACACTAAAATCTATGAATATACCACGAATGGCTTGGTAAACCACCAAACCCCTCTCCAAAAGCTTAACTGCTTCTACCCAATTGTGTCCATCCTGAGGCCCTGCCGCTCTTTCTTCCTCTACCTCCTCTCGTTTCACAAGCCACAACCGCGCAAAAACAATTGTTACGTCAGTCAGCAGTATAATGTACAGAGGCCTCGAGGCCACAACGCTCTCCGAATTAACCAAGTTCATCCCAAACAATGCGTAATCAGCAAAAGACAACACTACCAAGAATGCTATTATGAGAGAACAGACAACTCGTGTGCTCTCGGATTCTACTATGCAGGAGTTTAATCTTTTCGAAGAGAAAAACCTTGCCCTCGTATGCCGCCTGCTTGCAGGTTCTGTATCGGTTGATGCCTTTTGAACTACTGATGTGCCTAATTGTGTTTGAATTTTGGCGGTGGTGCCACCAGCACCTTGCGGTTCCATAGTGCTTGTAGTTGTTGTGTCACATTTGAAGGATGAAGGTCCATCTAATTGGCTTCCAGTTTCAACATTGTTTTTCCTTGAAACGTCTTCATTACTAGCTTCATGTGCTTTTTGCAATGGGGAACCCGCACGATTGTCAACCTTACCCTCAGTACCAGCTGCAAAACCAGGGAAATTGATAAGAATACATACCACCTAGCTAGTAATAACATTTTTGTTCAGCACTAATCCCACGTCGGTTGGGATAATGTGCATTAGACAGTGTGTCAGCAAGGTGTTTAGTTTTCTGTGTCGTTTGAGCGATCTATCTAACCCAAAATCAGACATCTAAAACACACAAACTTTTATCGGAACCAAGAGAGGGACAATGTGCCACCAATTGTAAAAATGTAAACTTTTGGGTTTGAATTGGCACTTCCTTGATTGTGATATGATACAGTGAAAACGCAATTAGCTTATGTATTTTCTACCCCTAATGTGCTTTAAAAAAAAATTGCTTTTGCTGTGATGTAAGAATAAACTCATTTTTGTTACTTTACGTTTTCAGTTTTTTTTCATCCAAAACTATGAAAATAAACTGTTCTCAACTTTTTTTTATACTCACTTTTTATAAAAGCACCTTAGAACCAAACCAGTACCAAGTCCATGTAAATCAATATATGCTAGCACAAACTAAATAATAAATAAATAAAAGACTATTTGAATCATGCAAAAAATTCAATTAATTTTATACATTAACAAAAGCTGAAGAGATTTTTAGGTGCTAATCATTCTTATTATCTAATTAGTCATTAATCATGGTTTGAAAAAAAATTAGTCATTAATCATGTGATGTGATGAAAGAGATATACAATCGGTGATTAAATCTGTTGTCAAAAAATAACATGAACCCTACATATGATGATATCTATAATCAAATTAACAGAAATAATCAAACAACTAAAGTAGTGGTGTCATAAATTAAACATCTTTTTTAATCTTTTTGAGATGGAATTCATATACCGTTGTGACGGTGGGATTGTGGTGGTACTGAAGGTGACGGTGGTGGTGACGGAGGAGGAAGAGATTGAATCCGACCGGTGATCAGAGCCATACGATCCGACCCTCTCTCTACAATTCTTCTTCTTCTTTCTTCTCTGCTGGCGCTGTCCATTGTCTTCGCCTTTGATGATTGATTCTTTGCTTCTGAGTTTATAACTGTTTTGTGTCGGTCAGGGATTTCTGTTAGAGAGAGACCCCTATAATTACAGGGCAAACCTCTGCGATGTCGTTTAGTTGATCAACGGAAAAATAATGATAAACCATCAGCTTCGATCTGAAAGAACAAAATCATTAATTGTCTTTATTGGTCGACACGCCTATTTGGGCTGGGCTGGGGTAGAGTTGGGCTAATAAGAAATTTAAGAGCGATGTCCGAAGAAATAGAGACCAAGGTTGGACTTAAAACGTGTTTATTATTAGGGTTTAAGTATAGGACTCGTCATTTAGGGAAGTCAAATTTCTAACCTTTTGTATAAGTGGAGGATATCATTAGATGATAGTATTAAATGGCGACACAACCGTTAAACGTGAGTTGTTGGAAAATTAATTTATTATTATATTCGTTTTCTGTAGAAAGGATATGTATGATGGAGTAAGGACTGTTGTAAGAACTCATGGAGGACAAACCGAAAGCTTTCCCATAACTGTAGGGTTACATCAACACTCATCTTTAAGTCTTACCTTTTTACATTGGTAATGGATGAGTTAACGGACATATCCAAGATGATATTCCTTGGTGTATGCTTTTCGCAGGACAATATAGTGTTGATAGATGAAACTCAGGAGGAAGTAACTGAAAAACTTAACCCTTGGCATGAAATATTGGAATCTAAAAGACTTCGCCTAAGTAGTTCAAAGACAGAGTATATGGAGTGCAAGTTCAATGTGAACAGAGGTACAAATGAGTTAAGGGTGAGGATTGGAGATCAAGAAGTACCAAAGAGCAAACGTTTTCGCTACCTTAGATCTATCTTGCAAAACAACGGATAATTGGATGGAGACCTCAATCATAGAATACAAGTTGGGTGGATAAAGTGGAGGAGTGCATCGAGTGTGTTGTGCAATCTTTGTATGCCATTAAAGCTCAAGGGAAAATTTTACAAGACGACAATAAGGCCACCTATGCTTTATGGCACGAAATGTTGGGCGGGGAAGTATCAACACGCACAAAAAAAAAGTATAGCGAAGATGAGAATGCTTTGTTGGATGTGTGGGCACACAAGAAAGGACAAGATTAGGAATGAGGACATCCGAGGTAAATTGAAGTAGTCGAAATTGAAGATAAGATGAGAGAGAATCAGTTAAGCTGGTTTGGACATGTGAAACGAAGACCTACAGATGCTTCGGTTAGAAGATGTAATTACGAGACAGAGGCTTAAGGCCAAAGGGGTAGGGGAAGACCTAGGAAGACTTGGAAAGTGACTCTAAGAAAAGACTTGAACTACTTTGACATGCCGACCTCGATATCCTTCAAACACCAGGGTAGGCACGTGTTGGCCGACACCTGAAGGTGATGAGGCCATACTAACATGCATGAGAGCTATGAAGAAAGAACGAACATAAATAAAACTAGTAAATTTAACAATAATGAATATGCAATTGTGGAATGTGTTCAAAGCATACATCTAATCTAGAACATTGTAGAAGGAATAATAAAAAAATGTAAGAGCAGAGGGATGGGTCCTACACCGAGAGGACTCGAAGATACCGATGCGGGAGTACCTTAACGTTGGGATTGTACGCCTCAAATCTGTTATGAGGGGGGAGCAAAACAAAACATGAGTGGACCAAGTTTATAAATAAGTAATACTAAAACAGTTATTCTTTAACGTACTAACCCCCAGTTTAGAAAACTCATATAGCATAATAAGTAATAGGTTTTCCTAAAACCCTAGTATGCCATAAAACCTTTGTAAAACATATATCATATGTAGTGTGCTTAGTAGTAGTATCATTCATCCGAATGCCCTTCATCACCCGCTCAAAGATATATATAAATCTTCATTTGCCCGAAGGCCTTTCATCGCTCAACCGAAGCCATATATAAGTATCATTCACCCGTTGGCCCTTCATCACCTGACCAAGCCATATATAAGTATCATTCGCTTGTAGGCCCTTCATCACCCAGTTGAAGCCATATATAAGTATCATTCGCACATAGGCCCTTCATCACCTGACCGAAGCCATATACAAGTATCATTCGCCCGTAGGTCCTTCATCACCTGGCCGAAGCCATATATAAGTGTCATTCCATTAGGTAAGCACATAAAATCATAAACATAATCTTTCCAAAGTGTATCTCATGAGAGCTTAATAGCTCAAACATCATATCATAAATCATATTCATAAATATCTCAGTAACGTAGAACTTAATAAAGCATGATATTTCATAAAGCGCGTATATCCAATAACTCAATACACGTTTCATAAAACGTAGTCATAAAATCATGTTTTTCATGTATGCATTTCCAGTAATAAAATCATGCATTTTGGAAAGGGTCCACTCACAAATACTCCGCCGTCAAAGAGCCATGTAACTAGAGAAGGCAGATACGCCACAAACAAATGCACCTAAGCACATAAAGGGACCGCTTAATAAAACTATACTATAACGATTGAATTTGAGAAAACGAACATTGTAAACAGATACCCCTATGTGTCGCCACGTGCCACCGCACGCGTCGAATTGAGTCGCCTGAAAGTTGGTCGGAAAAGTTGCCGGCACCACCGTGGATAGCGGCGGAGCATAGTACCTTTGGCGGAGGTGCGTGTGCTCCATGCACTGGCTCATGGCAATGCCCACGCACCGACTCAAGCTATCATGCCTCGATCTCGACATACTTTTATGATCGACACGTGATGTCACCAATTACATGTATATCTAACATACCCCACCTTCGGGATATGTGCGAAGCATAACTCATGATCCAACTGCGTAGTAATTTTTCGTACACTTTATGGCTGCATCTAACCTCGTTGTTAGACTGCCTACATACCCTAAACAGGGATCAAGCCATTCGTAGTTCATTTTTCACTACACTCGAACATTCATCTCATATCTCACTACGTCTCATTATAATACCATAATTCAAGCATGTAGCACCTCAAGGAACATTCAACAAAGCATAATAATATTCTCTAGTCATCTTACCATTCACCCACACATATGCATTCCAACACCATCCAATAATCACACCAATCAATAACACATACAATACACCGTAATGCAGGGCTAGAGCGACACAGTTTGGACGAAGCCTACATCTCTGAAGCTAAAATCGAATCCAAGGAACCAACAAATCAAATGATGTGATTTTGGACCACTTAACAAAATCCATCAACATCGAGTTCCAGACCACTCAACGGAACCAAGATACCAAATGGGATTCCAGACTGCTCAATGGAATCCAAACCAGGATACAATTTTGGACCATTCAACAAAATCGTGGAGTAGAAAGGATTCCAGACCTCTTAATGGAATCTGAGTGGATACAATTTCAGATCACTCAACGGAATCGCGGAGTACAATGCATATCGAACCACTCAATGAAATCTAAGTTGGACATGATTTCGGACCACTCAACGGAATCACGGATCACAAGGGATTCTAGACCTCTCAACGGACCTATAAATACATGATGCCACAACACTCAAAAACCACCACCCTCTACCACAAATTCACACCACACCATGCACCACACCTCAAGAGCCTAAATTCACACCAATCCCCATTGTGGGCAGCAAGGAAGGAAGGAGGAGCCACGTGGAGTGTTTCTAGGTGTATTCTATCTTTGTTTTTAATGTTTACGTTTAATTATCTTTGTTTTGCGAACATGTGGAACTAATTTCTTTTTAGTTAGAGGTGAATTCGAAGCCATGATTATATGTTTTATATGAATTGATTACGTCCAGTTATTGTTTTTTAAGGCATGAATGTGATTTGCTTATCTAAGTTATTAAAACTTGTTTATGTATGTGGGTTGGGGGTCGACACTTAATTTGCATGCATGAATTTGATGCTAGAGTATAAGGGGGTTTCACGTAATAGTTATTCACTTATATTCGCAAGTAGTGGAGGTTGCTAGTCACAATCGCGTTAAGTAAATCCTTGGTACGAGTCTCATGCATTTCATAGTGATAAATGTCTTGTCAATGCTTATAATTTTCATAGAACTTAATGACTTTTGATATGTTTCTTTATTATGCGTTTCATATAGGGAACTTGAGAAAGATAATTTGGTTTAGATGCGTCTTCCATCTAATTCAATGAAAAGGAAAATCTGATGGTTAGTTGTGCGATGCTACTAACTTGGGGCATTGTCATTCATAGTCTAAAGGAAAAATAAATGGAAATTGGTTCATATGCATATATCATGTGTGGAGAAGGACCCTCTAACTAGCCTTTCACCCATTTAATTCACCTAATTTCGTTTTTTTACAAAGTGTTTTCTACAAAGTTTTGTTTTAAGTTTTGAATTCGTCAAAAACAATCCCCCTTTCATTTAGTCTTGTTATTTGAGTCAAAATCTGTTTTCTTTTTGTCTTTTGAGTCAAGTTAAGTCTTATTTTCGTCAAAATCACTTGCTAGGTCTAGAATTGAGTCTTTTTGAGTGTTTGTTGCTAGTTTTAAGTGTTTTAAGTTAGGTTTGAGTCTATAGAGTCTTGTTTAGTGTTTTTGAGTCTTATTTTTGTTGATTAGCATCCCTAGTTAATCTCCAGTCTAGAACGATCCCTACTTGCATATATACTACAATTGTCACAAATAGGATTTAATTTGTGTGTCAAGTTAATTTTCACATTAAGGTTCTCGCTGGAAAACTGAGAAAGTGTCCCTAAGTAGTTTCTTTGTAGTTTCGATGTCCAAAACATGTACAAAGGAGTTAGTCTTCAACCTAAGATGAGGGAAGGACGATGAAAAAGGTTTAGAACCTTACCCTCCGTCGTGACTCGTCGAGGGAGACGGTGAATAGTGCCTTGGTCACTGTTGGAGTGCAACGGCCCTAACCTGGCCTGAGATTTCAACTGGGAAGGTTTTAAGGTAGTGGTGGTTAGCGACGGTGCCGCCAAAATGGTGAGTGGTGGTGGTTTCAGGTGAGGTTCTCCTTTTCTCGGTGCTTGCCGTGAAAGAAGGGAGAGAAATGAGAGTGAGTTGAGAGAAAGTGAAGAGAGAAGAGAGAGATCCTAGAGATAAGTCACGGGGAGAAGGAAGAGAAAGAGAGAGAGAAAGAGAGGGAAAGTGGGCTGGGGAT